CACACACACACACACACACACACACACACAATATCTTCCAGGCCTGGAAAGGGAATGCAGGAATGGTAAGTTCTGGGCAACTTATCTGGGTGCATTCGGTACAGACTATTCACTGTGCCGTCCACAAACGCAGGACACAGCTTAATCATGCAAAGAAGAAGCCATATTTGAACAAGGTCCAGAAATAGTGCCATCTTCTCTGTTCTGCGGTCCAATGAATTTACATTTCTGCTTAGAAAACATGGACGCTGTATCCTAAAGAGGAGAAGGATCATCCGATTTGTCATCAGTCCTCAACGCCAAGGTCTGCATCTCATATGGTATGGAGGTACATTGGTTCTTATGGAACTGGCAGCTTGCACAGCTGGAAATGTACCATCAGTGGTGAAAGATCTATTCAAGTTTTACAGCAACACAAGCTCCCATCCATTGTCTTTTTCAGGGAGGGCCTTGCATATTTCAGCAAGGCAACGCAAAACTGCATACTGCAGCTTTTACAATAGAATCTTCTATCAGACAAGAACGGGAAAACAACACACTCTCAAAAATCTAGCAGCTGCTCTCCTCAGTCCCAGACATTTACAGACTGTTGTGAAAAGAAGAGGGGATGGCCGTCACCCATGTTGATGCCATCAAATTAAAAATAACTCTAGTTTCGCTTGAAATGGTACATTTCTTCCATGTTTTTTTAATCCATTGTGAGTAAGACATTGCTTAATGGTATTTGGAAATCATTGCATTCTGTTCTTAGTTATATTTTACAGAGCTTTATTGGAATTTGTCTTGTCCTACAAAACAAACAAATCAAAAAGATCAAACTAACCCAAAAAAGAAAAACGCCTGTATAGCAATATTATTCAGAATAATGTCTCAGTGACTCATAATTCATGGCTTTTGTTTGTGGTCAATAATGAAATCCAGGAAACATGAATGCATAATGTAAATTCATCATCAAATCAAAAAGCTTCACTGACAGACTGAGAAGGTAAGAGGGAGGGATGGGAAAAGGAATAAAAGAAGAGATGCTTACATGTTTCTCTCCTTCAATCCTTTTGTCAGCCTGTTGAACAGCCTCGAGGTACTTAAAATGCAACTCCATCAGTCGATCAACCTGGAGAGAAAATGAAATAGAGCGAAGTAGAAAAAAAGAGGACAGTACAAAGCATATATGGAAAAATTCTAACAGGGACAAACAAATTCCACCTTCTTAAAATGAAGTAACAATAGAAAAATACATTTCCAATTTCATATTTCTTTTTATATGTTAGTATGCTACTGATCATCCCCTCATTCATTTGGCTACAGACCTTTTGCAGGGAGGAACCTATGGAGTGGCAAACAAAGAGAAGAAAACACAAGCTTCCTTTATTGCCTTAATATATCGCCAGACGCTGGATACAAACCTTAAAAGCTGATTAAAATGAGACTCTAGGTTGCCTCAGTAGTGAGAAAGCTATCGACATTTGATTTGTACCACAGGCATTTTCAAAAAAAAGTCATGCATCCTATTAAAATGGCCTTGAGCCACAGGCTGAATATGACACATTTGGGCACATGTGAGTAGGATCGTGGGAGTTGAGGTGGGTGGTGGGAGAGTGTGCAGTGTGTCGAGCTGTCAGGTTTGACATCATAATTACTTTCTCACATTCTGCAACATATGGGAGACGGTATACACAGGTACAGAGTGACTCGATGACCTCGGTGTATTTAACCTCTCTTGTAACGTCTTAGAACTGGTTTCTGGAAAAAATAGAACTACTGCAGACTGGTTCAGGTAAAGGTGTTCCCTAAGTGTGTGGAAGCTGAATGGCCTTCTAATGTGAGTATGTTATGAAAACAAGATCTGTGGCAAAGCCCAATCGTGGATACGCTGAATATTCAGGCTTTCACCTTTAATCACTTTTGCTTTATTAGTTTCCATGTATACTAACATTTTTAGCTGTGGTATTTCTACCAATTTCAAAATAGATTTTTAGAGAAAGAAACATCTTTCTTATGTTTGCAGGAAATCTATCTATTAATAAAAATTATTTCCAAGAGTAAGAATTTATACATTCATTTATACCTGTTCAACATTGTTGTCATGAAGTTAAAGTTAGGCAGCCAGTGTTTTGTTTTTACTGACCACACAACTTTAATACTTTTATAAATCAAATGTCACTGATCTTGCCTTTTTTCCCCCTTTTGATCCTCTACAGTTGCTGTAAAACATTTTGCATTGCAAAGACCGCTCAAAGTTACGACTGGACGTAAGTTTTGTCGATGCAGCTCACGTAAATTTAAACTAAAGACTAGTTTGAACAAAAACTAAAGAGGCTTGGGGGAAATCAGTGATGTGACTGCCGTGTGAATTTTCTGACTAATAGTTAAAAGCTTCTTTTGGCTGCTCCCTTAATCACAAGGGTCGCCACAGCGGATGGATCTGCATGTTTGATTAGGCACAGATGACCTCCAAGTGTAATCCTCCCCTTTAAGTGGGCTTGGGGCCGGCATGAGGAGTACACAAACAGTCCTAACCAAGGATCTTCTGTGTGTAAAGAGAATATGTAAACCACTACACCAGCGGGCTCCAACCCCCGGGTCATGGACCGGTAACAGTCCGTGAGTTGTTTTGGTACCGGGGCGCAAGAGTTGAGGCTTGGGTGCGAAATTTATGTTTTTTATCGTTAACTCGGTTTCCCTGGGTCTTTTCCTGTGTTGTAGTTGTGTGTCTTATTTTGAATGAAATATTTACACATTACCATAGTGACAAGAGAGCGTTAAGGGGCAGAGAGGAGGATGTTACACTCAATGTTGTTGGCGCATTTCAGGATGATGCTACTAATAAAGTTACACAATTACACAGTAAATTCGTGTTTATTATTATATTTACAAAATACCACAGTTTTTGTCTTGGTCGTATTTGTTGTATTTATCCGCGACACCTTAATGGCCGGTCCATGAAAATATTGTCTGACATTAAACCGGTCCGTGGAGCAAAAACGGTTGGGGACCGCTGCACTACATCATGGAACACAGAGAAATACGCAACTACCAGTGTTCAAAAGGGACAGATGATCAACTTTTCCCAGTTCCGATAAAATGACTTTAAATGTTTGCAGATACAGAGTACCGAGCAGCACTAGAAGTATTCAAGATGATATTTTTTTTAAATGTATAACGCAAGATCAGGACCTAAAGATTATGTCACAAAATAAAATACACAAATAAAATACATTAAAAAAATACCCCCAAGAATATACATTTAGTAAACTAATAAATGAAAACAGTACCAGGATAAAGAAAATAAAAGATTAAAAAAAAATTTGATTATGCTTTTCATCCAATATTTTTTCACTAGTCTCATTTCAGCTTAGAGTAGGGTCACTGCATGCTGCTCTCATCTAGGGGCTAAACATTATATAAGATCAAATATTAGCAAGTGTGGATGAATGACAGAAAGAGAATCCAATATGGAAAGCTTCGTTGCCTGTAAGTTTCATTCTAGTATTTGGGTAAAAACCTGTTGCAATCATATGACAAAGTGCAGAATAACCCTTGCTGTAAGGCTACTTAAGCTCAGTCATGCTGTAGTAGTATTCACAGCCTTCTCTCACCGATACCCAGTCCTGACACATTTGAGTCAGGATTGGACCATTATCTACTCCTAATATTGATCAGTGCATTTCTATTGCACACAGTACAAAGCAATTTTAGAAAATATATTTTTAAGTCATTTAAATTTAGGAAATACAGTACACCTGCTCTGAATGAAAAAAACAACAACTGGTAATGAAGACAACAACACAGTCTGATGAAGCACTCAAAAACATGAGATGCAAAACAAAACGGGGTTGCAAGGCAAGAAGAAGAATGAAGAAACCAGCAAGATGACAATGATACAAACCTTCTCACAGTCGTTCTCCGTGAACTTGCTGAGGAGCCTGCTTCTCTGCTGGGACTTGAGATTTCTCAGCATGGAGGCGATGATGGAGCAGACGTGTTCTGAGAAAGAGTAAAGTGAGAAGAGAAAAGCTCATCAACGACACAAAATATCTCTCAAATATCTCAAGCACGGCATCGCTTCACTGAAGACCTCACAGGGGTTTACAGTAAGCTTAAAACCCAACAGGTGCATGATCTTTCACCACAGTTACAGTTAAAGCAAATAGTCTCAAACTCTTAAGAAAAAAAGAACCGATTACCGCAAAGCTCATTCTCACCCACATCCACAGAAAGGACAAATCGATTAGCACTTGATAATTTGCAATTAGAGCACGCAGCCGGCTAAGCGTGGATACTCTTACAGAGAGTGCACAGAATGAGAGGAGGGAAAAATGTTAATGAAATTTAGAAATCAATTTTCATTTTAGGGCATGCTGGAACATGCTAAATGGTTTTGGCTGTGGCTGAATTACATTTATTGGGGTGATAGAAATTTGTCTGTGGCAGCTCTGGGGCCATTTAGCAAGCAGGAGGTCTAGAAACATGTTAATTGACTGAATTAGCAACAAACACCAGTTAGTCACATTGAGTGCCCTTGTTAGCCAAATTCATGCTATGTAAGACGTGTTATCTCATTCAAAGACCTTCTTAGTCACAAAGCGGCACCAAAAGGCAGCAATCATAGCATAATATTGCTCCATGATATTGAATGGGAAATACAGTGTACACACAAGGGGGGAAGAGAATATGTCATTGTAAAATCTCTGGATATACAGAGTGGAGGGGGAAAAAATGTAATTGGACTTTATCAACAAGAGGTCAATATTCTCTCTCAACGAGGCTTTGCAGTTGCTAAGCAACAAGAGTGCAGGAATCAATCCCATTTCTACTTTTTAAAAGGGGTCGTATTTGCTGTCAGCTCCCTTTGTGCAATCCCCTATGACCCGCAGGCTCTCTACCCACAAGAAGTGAAGGCTGGGAACACTTAAGGCTCTAACACCTGCCAGATGTAGCCTTTTCAGAATATAGAAATATCCATCAAAGGCGAAGGAAAAAGAAAAACGTGTGAAAATGAACCAGCATACAATGCAAAATAAACTGGAGTTGCAGTGTTTCAGGATGGCAATTCAGTGGAAATGTAAAATGTAACAAAAGCTAAAAATTAAACAATAAATGTGTATTCCTGCTAAATCTGCAAGCCAAATATTTTGTTATTTTAACACTTCTGTTCGCATCTATTGCTCTTCTATCAAACTAAATCCCTCCAATGTTTTACATCAAACTTCTAATAATTTACTCAATATTTCTGATGTAATTAAAGTCCCTGAAACTGTAGCTTTGTGCTTTAATTATGCCTCTAAGCAACCAAATATTCTTGAATAAAAAACAGCTTTTAGTTATTTGTTGACACAGAGAAAAGGTAATGTTGGTGATAAGCCCTATATGGGCATGACTTAATCAGGTGTGACATATGGTGATGGCAAAATAACAACACCACAGTTATATTTTGATTCAAATATTATTAAACTCTGATTCATTAAAATTTGAGAATTCAATACGTGAAACTTTCAAGGCATTCTGAACTCACATTATCCATATCTCAACAGTCACTGCAAGAATGCCCATGTCTAAAGTAGACCAATTTTTGATTTATACTGCTGTGATTTGTTTGCTTACAGGAGTAAATTAAGGATTAATTAACCATACTTCAAATTTTGACACACTAAAATCACCTCAGCACTTCTATTAAAATCATTTATATCATCATGACACATCAAAAGAAAGGAAAAAATAAATGAACTATTTCTGACTGGTTCAGAGGTATCACAAGTATCTGCTCAGGCTGCACATCAGGACGGTTCAGTCCAAAGATCCCTTATTTTAATGTAGACAGCCTTATTTCCTGTACACAAAGACAAGGAGGCTAAATGCCATTTCCAAAAGGACACTACTTTATCAACTTGATCCAAGTGGTAATTGATGTCACCACCTCCACGCCCTGCCGGGGAGGCTATTGATCGCTGGCTGCAGAATGTTCTTTCCAAAGAGTTTAAAACTAAGCAGAGACTGCTCCTTTGAGATTTGTGAAGGAGGTGGGAGCGGGATTACATTGTGGCTACCAGATAAAGGGCAAAGCTGAGTAAAAATAAGCTTCCTCATCTGTCTTTAGAAAAGTGTGCAATCAATACCTCATTTAAATGTTTTCTTTCAAACCTCCTTCGGTATTTCACTATGGGAAGCGCCCTCTGGCGTGACTAATCACGGAAGCGCCACTACCACCACGCCTGTTCAAGACAGACCAATTACTTCAAGGACAAGGGCCCCCCCAACCCCTGGCCCCCACACTAGGCATTCTCACTTTCTTCCCTGTAAAGATTATAAGAGCTCCTCAGCGGTCCTGAACCAGGATAATTAATTTAATCTGTTCATTGACGCAGCCGTTAAGGTTGTTCAAGAACGTGTTTTTTTTTTTTTTTTTAGTTTTCGGGAACATCTATTATGCTGTAGCTATGTATTTTCATTAAGGAAATAATAGCAGTTGTCGCGTTACTGCTATCCGCGTGTTAGAAAACTAGTTTGGTGGCATCCAGATACATCCTGTGCCTTTGGTAGAATTGTGGGTATGTACTAGGGGGGACAACGATACACAAAATTCACGGTTCGGTTCAATACTCTGGTGTCACGGTTCGATATTTTTTCGATACAAGAAAATGATCATGCCTTTTTAATTTGTCATTTATTAAAATTATAAATACATATTTTAACTCAAAAGTA